ATACTTCATTTCCTGCATTGATTCTTACAGTTCTAATGAAATGTTATGGTTGATATAGTTCAATTATATTGGAAGTGAATTATGGTTAGGGTTGATTCAGTAAAATGAATCAATTCAATATGGAAGTGTGCTACATCAGAATGCTACAATATCCGAATACTTCGGACTTGATCCTTAATCAAATCAGTTAATATGAACATTGGTAGTGTGTTCAATCTGTTTGTTGAATTGCGGTTGCGTTTCATTATTTCAATTGTGAATGTTCGTCAACAAAGGAAATAATTTCAAATTACAGCGTTTTTATGGTTTGCGATTACACTTTTTCTATCATTATAACAGTTTACTTGCCAATATATTTTTTTTCAAAATAATCACTAGCCTCAAGCTAAATTTCACTTCATTTCACCTTTTTGTTGATAATGATAATGCGAAAACAAAAGAGTCATATAGATTTACTTGATTTCATTGTGATTACCCATTTATGCCCACCGACTGCATTGAAGAGCTATGTTTTGTGGTGTAGGAGTAGGTTGGAAGAAAGCTAAGGGCGGCCAGACCAAAACACAGCACAAATCCACGAAATCACTGACAAGTATACTGAGTCTTGTTAGTAGATGTAGGCTACCTGGTTGGGGTCCGAGAGACGATAGTCACCAATGGTTAGAGACCTTGAATGACATGGCTCAAAATCGTTTGCAATGGCGCAAATGCATCCATTCGTTGTGCTCTCTCAAATCCTAATCTTCTGCATTCGTCAGCACCTCTATCTTTATCTTTCTAACCTTATCTGACTGAATTATACTTCTTGAATAATATCTTCAAACCCTAGTCTTCTTTATTACCATTGATACTTCTACTATCTATATCACTATGGGATTTGATTTGACATTTACGTCTCTGTGCATATGTACGAAGTTCTACTTTGCAACTGACTGACTGACTGACCTATTTATGTATCAAGAAATCATGTATTCTTTCATTTGATCATGTTTGCCAATTATTTAAGTCGGTTAGAAACTCTGATTGTTAATTCATCAGCTTCTCATTGTACAAAAATACACATTGCTCATATATTTAAAATTTTCGATGATAAGTTTTAAATCACGTTTATTTTTCTTTCTAATTTTGCTAAAACGGAATGAACATTTGTCTACCTAAATAAAAACATTTGTTTTTTTTAACTTCAAAAACTTGTGTTTAAGTTTGTGATTCTGTCTATTTAAAAAAAAACATAATTTGTTGCATAGTTTATAACCTTTCCTTTTTATTCTATCGGCCTTTTGTTGTACTCATTTCATTTTCTTTCCTTTGTGGATTTCCTTATGATTTTCATTAATATGCAAATAAACTTATTGCTTCAACTAAGTCCCAGTTGTGTTTGATATTATCGAATACACACAAATGGCGAAATATTGAAAAGATTGAAATTTATCTATTGGGTTTCTTTTACGCGTATATTCCATGTATGTATGTATGTCTACAATGGTTATGTGTAAACAAGGTGTGAGAGAAATCATTCTTCAAAATAATAGGCCTCACCGATATTAAAATGACTAATGCCAACTTTACTTGTGCATCAGATTTTAACATGACTAAAAATGTGTATGAACGATACAAAGTGTCCTGAAAATTAAAGCTGAATAGTAATCTGAGAAAATCAATAACTGAATCTGTACTGGACGCTAGGAGAAATTGTTGAGTTGAGTTGGAAAATTATTTTTGAAAAATGTAAACCATATTATCCTTAGAGTTGGCTTGATTTTTTTCCCTGACATAGTAACAGCTTTTCTTCAAGGTTTGTTCTACGGTATTATATGATTGACTGAATAGAACTAATTTGAACAAATTATAAGTTTGTATTTTAGTAGCTGGAATTTCAACTCCTAACCTATGAAACTAATATCTCTTTTAGTGAATTAACACAGAAGCAAGTGAGAAAATTTGTTTGTTAACAAAGTTTAACTAACTGGAGAATTATCGAAAACAGGAAGGATTACAACTAAACGCTTCATCTGTATATGAAGTTTCTTATGTTTGTTAATTCATAACTGAACAAAGAAACAAACCTAGAAGCTTGAAGATTGGTAGTCATCATTCAACATAGTTACAGTTTTAATAACAACAGTTTCTGTATAATGAAAACTGATAAATTCATTTTACTGGACAAGTGATCAAAAACTTGGGATCGATTTTTCATAATGAACTATAACCTGTTACATTTTTAATTTGGTTTATTAACATGGCAGATATTTAATTTGTCTAAAAAGGTATTGACGATGCTAGGATGAAGGAAATCTAGAAAAGGATTTATTTGATTTAAATTTCTATTAACTCAAAAGAATATATTTGACAATTTACTAAATCTAATTTTAGAACATGGTAAATTTAATCTCATAAATCATGTTAGAATAAGTTCACAATGTAATATTGTGACGAAACTCCATCACTAACATCAACCTAAGCTAAAAAATTATTTTATCCACCATCTCACGACGTAACATGGCTTTTGTGGTGCTTTTTAATGACTTCATAATCTTTTAACCTGACATCTTATATCTTATCTAAGCAAACATTTAATTACGTCTGAAAATTTAATCAACTGAACTACTTATTATTACTTTTCTGAATGCTTACAACAAAAGAATAATGACAAACATTTCAGGCCAATTAATTATCATAAAAAACAAATGTACATTGTAGTTACGAAAATTTTCTTCTCTATACACTTGGAATAATTAACTTGCTTCAAAGCTGCTAAGATAAAGCTAAGGTTCAGTATGCTAGATTGTTTAATGAAACTCACTAAAATATTCTTATATAAGATTTCGAATTAGTTTATCAATACAAACAACAGTGAAGTCGTATACTTAATCAAGAGAGATATTCAATAAATCTCGTCAAATAATATATTCTTGAATATTGATATTAGACGACATTAAAACTAAATCATATCAAAGTCTCTTAAATCGTAAAAATGTTTATAATTAGATATGTATTCTCATATTTTAAAAGAATACTACTATTTACACTTCAATGGTAATAAATGGAAAATATTCACAATTAATTAGTTTGTGATGCATTTCCATATTGAGTAAAGATAAATTTCAAATGTTGTGAAACTTGATTTGTGTGTAGAATTATAACGCTTCTTACATGGTACTGTGCGAAACACTTAAAATTTCGATTTTCTTTTAATCCCTAATTTTTATCGGAAATAATAATATCTGACAATAAACAACGACCGAATAGGAATTCGGATCTTTTATAGAAATTTATTTAACCATATAAATGAGTAACTTTTAAGCAATAGTTCCGTTTAATAACTTATGATGTTATAGAGACAGTAAATGCTAAGTTGTGAAAAAAATCTAGTAATCAAACAAATCCATTTACATATATATATATATATATATATATATATATATATATATATATATATATATAAACAAGGATTAATAAACGTCTCGATTGTTATCTGTATTATTTGATGTATTAATATTCAGTTAAATGACCACTAACAAACAAAACATTTTCTAACTGTATTGTATTGATATAGATAAGAAAATCAATAAAAATGTACTATATATATCTACCTCTGCCGAACTATAAGTAATCAGCTTAACTAGCGCTCTTCAGAATATCTACATTAATTAGAAAAATAAAATAAAAGTTTAAGAAATTCAACTGAAATATGAGTACAATCATAATGGTTTTCAGCATACTTATTAAAAGAAATCTATTAATGAATTTGGATTGTATGTAAATCTAATACAATTACAGGAAATAATTTAGTATATGGTAGAAAGCTGAACATCTGATACTGACTGTCATCTCCATAAAAGTAAATAATAACACATTTTCGTGTAGATTTCAAATATTTCAAATGTCAAATCGAATTCATGTACGTATAATTATATAAGCAAATTAGTTTTTTTTTAAAACCCAAACAATCTTAAGACAAATTGTTAATTAGAAAGCGTTAGAGTTATCCTACTGTTGGCATTCAGGTCTGATTTTTAAACAGCTTTAACGTTGTTTGGGCATTTTTTGAGAAACATCCTAATGTATTCAATATATTCAACTGGTTAGTCACATATAGAATGAAATCCAAGCCCTCAGCTCTATCATTAGTCACAGCTCATCAACATTAGGGTGTGCACACAGACAACTGTTAATTATTTAAGATATATCTACCTGTAAATATTTTCCAAGAATCTCCACAACTGCACATGGAAAAATATCATATGTTCACTATGGATAAGCTTCAAGACGAAATTTTCAAAACTTTAGTAAGAATTTGTGATCAATGAAGTTAAGCCGTGTGGGCCATGGGGGGAAAAGGCCAATAGGGGACTATGGAAGACGGTCGTTCATCATCTTCGATTGATTGAAGTTAAGCATATAAACCAGTGGATGCCAGCTCTGTGGTCTGCGGTCCGATTACTCGCTTGCGAGGCTGGTGTTTCTGGTTGAGGCTTCGTTGGTGTGCATTGCTGAAGAGACCTTCATTGTCACAAATTGTCACGAATCTATTGCTTCCTGGATTTCAATTACTTCTTACCTTAGATCGGTCTGTGATTTCAATAAAACCATTTTTTGTATGACTGACATTTTTCATCCAGGTTGAACTCAAATAGTTTGTATAACACAGCTTGTCCTAATCACATATGTATATTCCACCACTACACATCGGTATTGTGAAATTTGTTAGACAATAATAAATTTTAGAGTTATTCAGTATTTATCAATTGAAAAGTCAACAGATGAATAATTTTATCAAACTCAGATTATTATAAATCAATTTACAGCAATATTTAATACTTTTGTATGTGGATTTATCCAAATATTTCATCAATAACGTTGTTCATTCTTAGATTTTCGAAATTCAGCATTTGAGTCTAATTACTCAATCTAACTTATATACTTTTTGTGTAAGAATTTTAAACTCACTATTATCAAACACAATCATTATTATTCACAATTTTCTTCTAATTTACCAGGTTACTGTTGAATGCATAGATGATGAAGGTCAGAATGCTTTATCACGAAATGCCAGTTTATATATCACAATCACAGATATTAATGAGCATAAACCAATGTTTACAAAAAGTATATACACTGGTCAAGTCATTGAAAATCAACTACATGCTGAAGTACACATGCCAACACCAATTCATGCCACAGATCTTGATTTAGGCGTTAATGCATTGATCACTTATAGTTTAGCCAATCCAAATGAATTATCACCGACAACAACAGTGACAAGTATGTCATCATTAGTGACAGCTTCCACACCATCATTATCGTCATCTCCACTAACGCTATCAGTAAATTTTGTAAATAGTACTGAATTCTTTAGAATAGATCCAATTACAGGAAAATTATGGACTATTCAATCATTAGATTCGGAAAATCGTAGTGAATATCATTTGATAGTGATTGCAAAAGATTCAGGCTCACCTGTATCACTTTCTTCAAGTGCAAGTGTTATTATTACAGTAGAAGATACAAATGATAATATGCCGGAATTTATGAATACACATTATCTATTTGAGGTAAGTTCAAAATAGAATTGGTATTTTTATTTTTAAGAATTTACCTTTACCCTCTATTAAATAAAAGATTCATAAGTTAATATGTTTTAAATTCAGTTTCAACATAACGATTAGTATAAGTTTAGCATCAGCTGGGAGAAATCAATAAGGAATCAGTGAAAACGTTTAAATAGTCCTCCTTTTCATTTCCATAACCCCTATGATACCCTTAAGTTTTTTTCAATTAGAGTTATGGAGATTAGTGTTTTTACACATTTGAAATCATCAATCAATCATTGTTAGACAACCATTAGAAATCTAAGAGCACTGGACGGCTGTTTTGTACTGGTTTGGGACTTATCAGCAGTACGCTTCCACAAATCCTGCACCTCGCAGTATTCGAACCCGGCACATTCGGTCTTGCACGCGAACGCCTAACTTCTGGACCACTGAGTCAGCATCCAACGGTGTTAATGTCTAAATCCAATTGACCTAGGGATTTTGCGCGACCTCACCCATTTGTCTTTGGTAGTTACTGCCTACACCCGACAGGGTTGAACTCCATTAGTCACGTCTTCTCAACTAGAACTCCGAGAATTTCCTCACGAAGCTAGTCACTAGTGAGCACATTTTACGATATTTTCAATTAGATTTATGGAGATTAGTGTTTTTACACATTTGAAATCATCAATCAATCATTGTTAGACCACCGTTAGAAACGTGGAAACACTGGATGGCCGTTTCATCCTGGTATGGGACTCATCAGCAGTGCGCATCCACGACTCTTTATTATACTATCAATCATTACACACTTTAATGTCCTAAAAATAAAATTGGATACCGCAACTTAAGTTATATTAAAAAACCTAATTTCAATAGACATGTGGATTTAAATGTAATTCAAAAGTCTACTACTTTCAGAATTCAATAAGAATTACTCAAACTATAAATTTCTGAAACAATAAACATTAAAGTGAATAGTATTTCATGTATTATTATGAAATATCTACGTTGAAATGGATAATTTCAGTAGTGTTGTTAGTTTCAAAGTATAAATTAATTACTGAATAACGGAAAGTCCTTTATCAAGCATCAATCGGTACAGTTTGATGAATCTTTAATAAAAATCTGAATCACTAGAGTGTTATACGATCTTCATTGAAGTAAAAAATACAGGGTCATTCAAATACTTGAATGCCATTACCATAGTTGTCTGCAAAAACATACATGTCTCATTAAACAGAAAACTTGATGTTGGCTAATCGCTTATCATAAATATAAACATGAAAATGTCATTTTATGTTAATAAAAGAGCTGTCTCCACTAGCATGTACCACGTCATCATTCATATTTCGTTCAAATTATTTACAGGTACCTGAAAATGCACCAGGCGGTACCGAGATTGGTGTTGTTGAAGCCATAGACAAAGATGTAACAGCAATAAATCAACGTGTACGTTATAATTTACGAGGAAATAATGAAGATTTGAAATTGGTTGCAATCGATCGAAACAGTGGGATATTAAGAACTCGACGTCCAATTGACAGAGAATCTAGATCTTCCATATCACTTATAGTAGAGGCAGAAAATGAAGTACCAATTCATCGTTCACCATCAGTAAGAAATGATAATTTTAATATGAAAAGTGTTGGCACTGAGGCAAGTGTAGTAATCACAATTTTAAATATAAATGACAATCGACCGGAATTCATCTTAATTGAACCACATCGGTCACATGTTACATTTACATGGGAACAGTTAAATCCATTGGTCATAGCGAAATCAACCCTGCCAAACGTAACTTCGATACATTCAAAATATGATAGTCAATCTTTAAAGCAAGAGAAATCAACCAATGAAGAAAATCAAAAAATATCCTCTTTAGAAAATGCTAATCCTGTATGTGAACCACTGCCTCATCGAGTAATTGATAGAGATATGGAATCAGATTCTATGCTAGACTGTTGTATCCTTGAATTATTAGATAATTACAATGGATTATTTGCATTGATTCCACAAGCTCCAAGTGTGCTATGTGCTATGTATCGACCTCCAAGCCCACAAACTTACAAACTAACACTTATAGCAAAAGACGGTTTGACAAATGACAGTTTATCATCCCAAGTAAGTAGAACTAATTATGCAAAAGTGTTCATATGTTTTATTTCGATATCAGTGTAAGCGGTGGTTTGGTAGGTGGATTATTCAGGTTTTATCCCTTTTATATTCGAAATGTCTGATGCCCATTGATGTGTCAGTATCATGGTTGTATCACTAGCTCTCACTAAAACACAAATTCGAGTATATGAGTTATGTTAATTAATTAGGATTCATTATTTGCATCATACTGGCCCACAGCAGTTCGCTTCGTCATAATATATGGATGTGAAACAAAGCCGGTGAGAGTAGAGGACCTTCATAGATTGCTTGTCTTCGACCATAAGTGTCTCCAAACATTACTCGTATATCAAGCGACAACCGAGCAAGCACTGCTGTCATTAAAAAATGAGTACTAGTTAGGTATAGCAAATCAATAGATGAAGCATTGAAACTTCATCAGTTGAGGTGGTTGGGACATGTGTTACGAATGCCTAACCACTTATTGCCTCGACGAGCTATGTTTCGTGGTGTAGGAGTAGGTTGGAAGAAAGCTAAGGGCGGCCAGACCAAAACATGGCACAAATCCATGAAATCACTGACAAGAGTACTGAGTCTTGTTAGTAGATGTAGGCTACCTGGTTGGAGTCCGAGAGACAAAGTCACCAATGGTTAGAGACCTTGAACGACATGGCTCAAAATCGTTTGCAATGGCGTAAGTGAATCAACTCTTTGTGTTCTTTCAAATTTTAATATTCTGAATTTTTCATCACTTCTATCTTTCACCTTCAAGATTTATATCACAAATTTATACTTCTCAAATCATATCTTCGAACCCTAATCATCTCCATTACTGCTAATACTTCTACTATCGCTACTACTATTGGATTTGGACTGACAGTTGCGTCTCTGTGCTAATGCGGTATGGCAACCTGAACTGATGTACGTACATACGAAGTTTTCCTTTGTATCTGTCTGTCTGTCATACTGACTCAACACTAAACTCAAAAATATTTCACAAATAATGTGAAATAGTAAGTTATTTAAGTGTCTACATTGTACTTACCAATAACTAACAAGGGTTTTTTACTTCGTTATTCCTATACTAGAATTGAATGAAACACGAAATATAGATTGTGATGAAATTATAATCAAAGGCTTGCAAGTTACTATGGTAATATTTTACAAACTAAGTTAAGAGACTAAAACGTAATGATAACTAGTTTTACTACTCATATTAGTAATACTGTTCGGAGATTTAATGGAACTCTTTATCCAAAAGTGGGAAACTACATTGATGAATTTATAATTACTACAAGTCTAGTATAACATGAAGCTTTTAAAGGTTCTTTTGTCAAGATGTTCTTATATAGATTTCTTACTTGGTTCGATTTATAAATTATCATACAAATATCCTTTAAGACTTGAATTCCAATATAATTTACGTTATGTACTAAAATTATTTCGTAAAATGAACAATAAACTATGGAAATACAGATCAGGCAATAGTTTACTAGCGATATTGGATACTGGTTGGATTGTTCTTTGAAATTTCTCGAGTTAGTAGGTTCAGTCTAGAAAATGTCAACCCCAAAAATCTTTCTCCGAAGTAAAATTTCAATGTTTTCTCATTGCTTTAAATCAGGGCAGAAGTATAATAATCTATTAACACCTACTTTTTCAATGAATTTTCACCTGATCTCAATGCGTGATAACAAACATCTTCAATTTAGATGAATTTATTCTAAGCTAGAGTTTAATAAATGTTTTTTTTCAGATATAGCCTCAACTAAACATCAAAACCCAATTTAAGATATCGATTGATTGTTTCAAGTTTAGTTTGCCGGATAATTGCATAAGACTTTTGAGTATGAAAAATAATATCATATTATATGAATCTTATATTAGTCATGAAAATATCTCACTAATTCTGAAGAATATGTAAATTTGCATTCAATATTTGTATGAAAACGAACATTTCTACAAAAGAACAGTTATATTTCATGATGCATGCAAAATATACTTCTTTTTTTTATTGTATATTTTCTTTAATGAAAAATATGCAAACACGTAGAATAAGTAATTTCATTTGAAATTATTCTTATAACTTATGTTCAATTAAATTCCAAATTAGTTGGTTCACCAATAAAGATTTGCGTAATGCAATTAAACGATACTGAAATCAATCTAAAATCATGTTACCATTTGGCAAAAATACTCACAAATTACAGCAGACTAACCTGATAAATTATTTCCAGTCTCTTCATTAAAGTTGCTTACTCTTATACTTTGATCATTAAATGGAACTCATTGTTACACTCGTCACTAGGTATGCTTAAACTATTATGGCTACACCGTAGTCGATAAACGAGAACGAGACAATGAACCAGCTTCCAGGTAGGCTACTCTGATCCGATTGTACCAATTCTACTAGCAAGAAGTCTTGATAAAGCATAGGAAGTGTAATCTACAAACACCCAGCCAGCACACAAATCGTGTTTATTTATACACCAACGAGACGTCCTTGGGAGAGTTACAAATATAGCACATTAAAATAACACAGTAACCAATCACAGCCAAGGATTTTCCTGGTGGGAAAAGTGATCTCAAGGTCAGCTGATCGGCCCATGAATAAAATCCACAATAAAGACATTTATCAAGCGAGTTCTGGGCATCTAACATCCCCAACACTTATACAGTAAAGCCTTAAAGTTCCGCTCTCCCCATGGACGGATATTTTAATCTCAGAATGTTCAAACTGATTTCAAACTAAACACAGACAATTATCATCCCATTATGAAAAAATAAAACATATTATTTAGTAATAATAATAATAATTATTATTATGCAAACGATTATAACCAAACTAATAATTGTCATCGAAAAATAACCGAGAATTTCTAAAATTGATTTGTTAATCAAGAGATCAAGCAATTGGATATGGAAAAAAATAATAGAAATTCCTGTAATTTTTTTAATAAGAATGACAATGAAAAAAGTTATATATTCAAAGAAAGTAATAACAAAAAGCTATATGAACGCGAAAAAGGTGGAATCAATGAACAGGAAACATTCATATCTAAACATATATATGTATATACATAGGTGGGAATAGAAGAGCAATTCAATTAACAATGAATATATTTAATTAATTAATGAATTTTTTTTACTTTTCACCACAAATACTACTAAGGCTGGCTTTCATTTTATTTGTTTATTAGTCATCGCTGTTTATTTTTTTTTCTCAAATTATTTTTTATCTTCTTATAGTGTGATTTTCTTCTTAATTTCTTTTTTTTTGATTCATCTGTAAACAAAATATTGTCAAGACATGTAGAAAGGGTTCTATTAGAAGGTATTTCGTAAGAGAAAAAAATACAAGAATTATTGAGTACATAAAACAAGACACATATAATTGAATTAATTAAAATTAAAAATCAGGAAATAATACTTTAAATTACGTTCCTACTTATTCATTTTATTATAAAAGGAGGTATTGGAGAAAAATCATTAACAGTTTTTAAATATTGCTAACTTACCTTTCGAAATCATAAGTCGATCAACCACCACTATAAACCTGGAAACATTGGACTGCCGTTTCATCCTTTTATGGGACTTATCAGCAATGCACATCCACTACTTCTGCTACTTGCAGGATTAAAACCCAGGACACTATAAGATACCGGTCCAAAGGAGAGGCGTTTTTGGAAAGACCAAAGGTTCTAGGTTTGAATCTCATGAGTTGCGGCAGTCGAGGATGCGCACTATTGATGAGTCCCATACAGGTTTCTAATGATAGTCTAACAATGATTAATTCATTATTTCGAATAATCTATTAGTTTTGACGAAAGCAATAATTTATGTTCAGTGAATGTGATTTTTCTGCCTTCTTTCATCTGAACTGAAATGGTGAATAAGTTGGTTTATCAGATGAATATTAGACCAATACATACATTCCAGTTTTGTGTTTTATAAATGTTAGTTTTATGAATCATTTTGCAATATAAAAGGTGACAACACAATTCAGTGAAAATTGTTCAAGATAATTGAGATTGTAAATGCAGAAAGTTTCTGGAGATTGTTTTTTCACGGATTGAAAAAAGTGCTACAGTGCATCAAACACTGTTTTGTCTCTGTTTAATTTCTACAATCGACGAATGTCACTCGGATATTAGGGTGTAATAGATAACTTAACCACTACTTTGGAGGGAATATCTTCATCCTTAATGGAAGCAAATGTCGCATTATCGATCCATTTAGACCATGAATTCGGAATCCAATGGTTTAGCTGTTTAATGTTCGTTTACTCTCAACAGTTCGTGACTGACATCAACAGATGTTAGCGATATTTGTATCACTTCGAACACTGATGAAACCTGTTGATAAATCATTATGAGGAGAAATTTTAAAATCCATCTCAAATATAGTTTATTGAATGAAAACTTTAGAGTTGTCGAGGTAATTTATTGATTTATTGAACTTCTGTGGATTGCGGCAGGCCAAACTTCTATAAAAATAATCCAGAAAACCCCAAATATTTCACATCGAGTTTAGTTTATCATCGTTAAAAATTCACTGATCGATCAGACAACTGCACATATTTAAAGTACCTAAAAATCTAAATATATACTTTAGTACTATTCAAAATGTTTTATTCCGTTTGACCAATAAGTATTTCACTACATTTTTACTTTCTATGCTTTTATTGTAATTATATCATAAAACATCCTGAAATAAATGGTTTTTCGACTATGGCATCTCGAATGAAATTCATTAATAGTAAATATCATATGATGATAGGAAAAGATGTGACAAATGATTTGTTTTCCAGCCTAATATCTACAACTGTAATATTAGGACAGAAAGGTGGTGAGTGTCTTTCAACCCAAACGAAGACACTAGTGCATAGTTAGATTAATACAGCATTGATTAGTGTACCTGTGATAGAAAAAACCAAGTGTATATAATGTACTTTTTAGGACAATTATTCAAATACTGTTATAAGTACAAACTTGTTTAATCTAACT